TATTTAAGAAATTGTGTGATCAATACAATGTGAGGGGAAAAGGAATGGAAGACAACTGTGGACACCAGAGATAGTGTGAGAAGAGGATGGAAAAGGGTAGAGGGTCAGGCATAGAGGTAAATATACATATATGAAACTAGAAATGATAAGTTATTTTTGATAACATATATGATTAAGCTACTATGCAGTATATTCTGGATTTGAAACTACATTTTGTATGCTGTGATGATTAGGGGATGAATGTAAATTAATTAATTAAAAAATGTTTCAGGAGGGGAAAAAACCATGAACTTTCTTGAAATTAAAAAAAATGCATATTTGATGACTGCAGTAAGCTATACAGCCCCAGCTAGGTCCTATTTTATAGTATGTTCATTCTACTCACTGAGGTTTATACCTAAAGTCAGACTTATGTTCATGGATATGCATTTATCAGCTGTGCTTCCTATTGGAAATATTTAGATTAATTAAGTTCATTAGCGAATCAATAAAATGGGGGGGGAAGTACAGAAAGCAACCATGGATACCAGAGACAGTGTGGGAGGAGGGTGAGACATGGCAGAGGGTGAGAGATAAGGAATCAAGGATGGTACAAAAAAAGCAAAATATACAGGAAATAAGAAATGGAAAATTATTTGTTGATGATAACACGTATGTTGATGTGCTTGATTGAGCCAATATACAGTGTATTCTGGATGGGAAATCTCATTTTGTATGCTGTAATGGTGCATAGTGAGTGAATGTAAATAAATAAACTTAAATTAAAAAAGAAACACAAATTCATGATATTAATATATCAATTTGTAAATATTCATTAAAAATGTGAATCATATTTATTTCCTAGTGTGTTTTAATTTACTTTTAATTTTTTATTTGTATTTTTTAAAGAATGATTTATTTAAATTTATTTATTATTATTATTTTTCCATTTGACCAGAGAGAGAGAGGGAAAGTGAGAAAACAAGCTGCCAGATCCAGAACTTGAACCATGGTTAGCCATGTGAGAGTACAACACTTCAATCACCAGTCTCCTGCCGGCCCTCTTCCTTGTATTTTAAGGTACTGCCTGAATTTTTTCAATGAGCATATATCATGGTAACAAGATATAACATTATTTTAAAACTGCTTCGTTAGATGTTTACCAGAGAATTTTGGCCAATGAAAGAGAACCAAGCAATTTATTAAGTAAGATAAAGGTTTATGAGACTAAAATATCACCAATTAAATGGTACCAGAATAATCTGGATCCCTAATTTATTACTGACTCCAAAATACTAATTCCCGATGGTATAATGTTTAACATGTATATGAAACCATAAAACTACTATAAAAACACAAAAACATTCATTTTAAAATAATTTCTATCATTTTAAGTAAAAACAATAAGTTAGATAAAAATATTTATAGTGTAATATAACCTCATTGATTTAAATAATTCTTTCTATGTATAAATTTGATAAAAATTATGAAATGAAGGGATATGTACCCAGCAAATTTTATTCACCATTATACCACCATCTTTTACTCTATGTGCCTGGAATAGGACAGACTCAAAAGTTATTAAGTGAATGACAAGATAAATGAAATTTTATGCACTGTTGGTGGAGTTATACATTGGGATAACTTTTCTGGAGACAGTTTGACAATATGTATAAAATATTAAAATAACTATACAATTTAGTCCAGCACTCCCCTTTCAAAGAATTTATCCCATGATTAATTTTCACAAGTGTATTGAGGTACATATTCCACATATCCAGGGCCAATTATATTTTTTCTTTATTCATGATAAGAGTGCATACATGTACACATGAGAATAAGAGACACAGAGAGAGAGAGAGAAATCCTCCACAGAGTCTAGTAAGGAAGTCATCTTTCTCCAGTTCTCCTGCTTATTAGATTTTAGTGTATTTCAGGCTGACCTGGCTAGGAATTCAAATCCATGTGGGATCTGGCTGCTCTTAAGCAGCAGATTATGCTGTATCCCAGGACCAGATCTCAAAATTATTTTATAACAGGAAAAATGTGTGTTTACAAGGGGACTGATTTTGTGGAAATATGAGAGTTCTTTAGAAAGTTCATGGATAAATGAAATTAAAGTATGAGTTTAGGCGCAGCATAGCGGCACAATAGGTAACAAACTGTACTGCAGTACTGGAAGTCATATGGCCTAAGAGTTTCAGATTCAAAAGTCAACCTTAAAACATGCCAGGAACATGTGCACCTATATCCAAGATCCTGACAAGCTGGAGGCCTAGAGATAGGGAATCATGGTGAGGAGACTCTGCTGAGGGTTCTTCATTCTCTCTCACTCTATTTTTCCTCTGTTTCTTGAACACCTGTGTACTATCATGAATAAAATAATGAATAATAATAAAAGAAATCTTCAACTTGTCTTTAAAAAAATGTATGCGCTGGACCAGCAGGTGGTATGGTGGTTAAGGCATGGACTCCCAGATAGCCTACCCATGTTTGAGTCCTGAATCTGGAGGCTTGAAAATCACACTGGGCACTTGTGCCTGTGTGTCCACAATTCCAGAAGGAGAATGGAGGGGATGGGATTGTGGCATGGTCATCCCCCCCTGGGAAGGTGATTTTTCACATTCCCTCTCTCTGTCTCTCTCCACTGAGTACATATGCCCTATCACAAAAACCAAAAAAGAAAAAAAAGAGAGAAAGAAAAAGTATGAAATTATTGAATCCACCTATAGTTTTCTCATAATATGCATTTTCCATGAACTTTCTAATGATCCCGCATGGCTGCCTTAGAATGTGAGTTTGGATAAATAAACTAGGGAAATTATTTCCATGAAATGTGCATCTATTTAAAAATAAGATATTAATCATTTACTATGAAAATAAAGCCTCAATTAATCGATAAATTAAATGAGCAGATCATAAACCATAATGTGTTCTCAAATAAAAAAATAGAATAGTACCCATGAATAGGCAGATGTATATATGCACAAGGAAATTTCTGGAAGAAAATAAGTTAAAATGCTCTCACAGTGCTTCTCGTTCGATGGTTTAAGTTATGTGTTTTTACTATCACTAAAATTTTGTATATTGGAGTTTTATCTTTACAATGCTCATATTCTTCGATAATCAGACATAAATGATAAGAGTATTCACAAAATAGAATATCCTTTCTTAACTTTAAAAAAAATGACCAAATGATAAAGCAGAAATCTTGCAAAAAAAAAGTAGCATAAAGGTCATTTTAATATTTTCCCTCAATTGAAATAAATAGTTCATCATATTTTATATTTTAATTTACTAGTTGTGAACTATGACCAGATTTAGACAGTGAATACCTTTAAGAAGGTTATTTTCTATATTAGTATGCCAAATCACCTCTGGATTTTTTCTGCTACCATAGAAATATCAAGAAATCTTCCAATTAAATCTCAAAAAGAGTATAGCCTGTGAATTTTTATTCAAATACAGAAGAATAATTCTTGTCATTCATAAAAAGATGGGCTAAATGTTCCTTACCTTTCAATGAAAAGTAAACACTGGTCTTTTTGGTTGTACCAAGAGAGTTATTCTGTAGGCTGAAAATAATCCTGTAAATAAAAATAACAAACACCGGTTTTTAAACTTCATTTTACAAAAGTTTAGCCACATATTACTGTACTTGCAAATCATACTTTAGTATGGTCATAATTTTACAATATTAAAAGGAAATTTATGGCAGATGATACCGTACGCACTGACAGAGGATGCACTTTCATTAGTACAGCTTCCCCCTCCCATCCTGCTGTTGCTGGAACTGAAACCTGCTGCACAAAATTAAAAAACAAACTGTCTACTTTCTGATAATACTATCTAATATTTGAATACTCCCTTTTTTTTTTTAATCTACAAGGTTGTTACAGGCATTTAGAAAGGCAACTTGGCAAGTTAGCAGTAAGGTTGAGGTATATCATATGCCATTTTAAAAAGAGAAAAATAGTAAAAATGGTGTAACTGACTCACGGCAACATGGGTTCGCAAACCTTGTAGATGGATATAAACCAGGCTTGCCAAATATCACACACAGCACTTATTACATATGCTACGTGGAATGCAATATGCCTGCTGTCTAGCCCCTCCCCCCTCTGCCAATAAATGACTCCCCTTTTTGCCAGTGTAAATATACCTGCTCGTAGCGTATTTAAAGAAAATCGTTTTTTTACTCCCAGTTTTCCATAGTCACATTACCCAATGTAGCCATTTGAAGCATTTCTATCCAGTTATTTATTTATTTTTTTAAAAGCAAGATTTTTTTTTTTTTTTTGGTCTGGAGTCCCGTGACAAATCAAATGGGAATCCAGGATGGGATGGATGGGAGAAGGAAGACACGCCTCTTCTTCCTTGTTAGGCAATGCAGCTTGTATTTTTACCTTATGCTTGTGCTTTTTTGTTGTTGTTTAATTACAAAATAAAAGTATAAAATTTTTGAAGGAACTAAAACAATTCTCTTCCAAGGGTGAGTACATCAGTCACCAGTTTCTGGAAAGATGGGCGGAGCCAGTAGCCTGTGGCGTTTAGCCATCCATTGGGCCCAGTGTTTGCCAATCAAGGTTCTCCAGCAAATGAGGAGCGAACTAAAGGTACACTGGGCAGGAAATTAAGGAGAGGTCTGACAGCAAGGGGAGGGGGCTTCGCGAGCTAAAGCGAAAAAGAGATCTCGGGGTCTCACACTGCGCCATTCAACTGCGGCACGCGTCCTTCAGCCACAGCCACAGCCCGGAGAGAGGCCCTGTAGCTGCTGCCGTCGCCTAGGCTTTTTTCTGCCACTGCCATCTCAGCGCCGGTCCCTGCTGCTCCATCTCCAACTCGCCCTGTGCTGCTGCTGCTGCTGCTGCCTACTCTTCCTCTTCCTCCTCCTCCTCCGCCGCCGCCGCCACCGTTGCCATCGCCGCCACCACCACCACCTCTGCAGCCCGAGCCTCCTACTCTGCCATCCAAGCATCCGTGAGTCATTTTCTGCCCATCTCCGGGCGCGCGGTCTCTACAGTAGTCACTACCCTGAGATTTGCAGGCTTGCAACATGGCAGAAGCGGATCTTAAAATGGTCTTGGAACCTGCCGCCCAGGGTGTTGCTGAAGAGGAGATGGCTAGCTCCACTAGTGATTCTGGGGAAGAATCTGATAGCAGTAGCTCTAGCAGCAACAGTAGTTGCAGGAGCGCGGCCACCGCGCCCCCAACCGCCAGCCGCTTATACGGAAAGAAGAGGGTACCTGAGCCTTCCAGAAGGGCGCGGCGAGCTCCTTCTGGTACAAATTTCGTGGATAAGCTGCCCCAGGCAGTTAGAAATCGTGTGCAGGCGCTCAGAAATATTCAAGATGAATGTGACAAGGTAGATGCCCTGTTCTTAAAGGCAATTCATGATCTTGAAAGAAAATATGCTGAGCTCAATAAGCCTCTATATGATAGGCGATTTCAAATAATCAATGCAGAATATGAACCTACGGAAGAAGAATGTGAGTGGAATTCAGAGGATGAGGAGTTTAGCAGTGATGAGGAGGTGCAGGATGACACTCCTAGTGAAATGCCTCCTTTAGAGGGTGAGGAAGAAGAAGATCCTAAGGAAAAACCTGAAGTGAAGATTGAAGAAAAGGAAGTTGCTAAAAAAATTCCTGAAGTAATGTCTGAAGAAAAGGAATATCCAAAAGAAATTTCTGAGGTAATGTCTGAAGAAAAGGAAGTTCCTAAAGAAAGTCCTGAGGTAAAGGCTGAAGAAAAGGAAGTTCCTAAAGAAATCTCTGAGGTAAAGGCTGAAGAGAAAGCAGATTGTAACCTATGTGTGGAGGCAATGCCTGAAGTAAAAGAAGATCCTAAAGTCTCCGAGGCAAAGGCAGAAGATAAAGAGCAGCCTAAAGCAATAGAGGCTAAGGCAAGGGTTCCAGTAAGAGAGGCTCATAAGAGATTTCCAGAGGAAAGGCCCAGAGAAAGAGTGAATCTTAAAAGAGCTAGGAAGGGAAAACCTAAAAGAGAAGATCCTAAAGGCATTCCTAGCTATTGGTTGACTGTTTTGAAGAATGTTGACAAGCTTGGGCCTATGATTCAGAAGTATGATGAGCCCATTCTGAAGTTCTTGTCTGATGTTAGCCTGAAGTTCTCAAAACCTGGCCAGCCTATAAGTTACACCTTTGAATTTTATTTTCTGCCCAATCCATATTTCAGAAATGAAGTGCTTATGAAGACATATATAATAAAGTCAAAACCAGATCATAATGATCCCTTCTTCTCTTGGGGATGGGAAATAGAAGATTGCAAAGGCTGTAAGATAGATTGGAGAAGAGGAAAGGATGTTACTGTGACAACCACCCACAGTCGCACCACTGCTACTGGCGAAATTGAAATCCAGCCAAGAGTGGTTCCTAATGCATCATTCTTCAATTTCTTTAGTCCTCCTGAGATTCCAAAGATTGGAAAACTAGAACCAAGAGAAGATGCTATACTTGATGAGGACTTTGAAATTGGTCAAATTTTACATGATAATGTCATTCTGAAATCAGTATATTACTATACAGGGGAAGTTAATGGTACCTATTATCAAGATGTCAAAGATTATTGAATAATGTCATTCTGAAATCAGTATATTACTATACAGGGGAAGTTAATGGTACCTATTATCAAGCTTTCAAAGATTATGGAAACAGAAAATATAAAAAATGAGAAAGAGGCTGGCTGAAAGAATTTTCAAGAATCAAAAAATTCAAGCAGAAGTTAAGCAGGTTCATATAGTCTTGCAAAACAAATAAGAAAACCTGCCCTATAACCTGAACAGTCTTGTGTTTTTGTATTTTCTTGGTAGTCCAATTTAAAAACTTGTCCTGAAAAGTGTTTAAGTATCAGTTTATTCTATTTAGCCTGTTGTACTGTAATATCTTCAAAATATGTAAACTGCTATTATCTAAAGCATGTTTGTTTGGTGCTACAGAGTTGATTTTTGTGAAGTCTTTTTGTCATGTTTCTATTAGAGTATAGCCATGAAAACTGTCAGAATTATTAACTGAGACAAAGATTTGCTTTATAAAAAAAAAAGTCCCTACCCTAAAGTACCAATGTAAGTGTTCTTTTTTTTTTCCATTTTCCTTTTCCCAGCCCAGAAGACTAAGGGTTTAAATCTGCTTGCACTAGCTGTGCCTTCATTACTTTGCTATACAGTGTTTATACTAACTAGAACAGTGCATTGTGAAATTTGACTGCTTGGGAAAAAAAAATGATTAGCATATATTTAAGAATGTCTGTGAAGACCACATTTGATAAGACTGTGAGCTTGTTTATGTGACATAGTGGTCTATAAATCTGATCATAATGAAGTTATTGTTTACCATTGAGGTGTTAATATAACAAAGTATTTTTTAAATGTTTCTTCATCTTATATTGTGAAATTGTAAACTAAAGATACCACATTTTCTTTATAATATGTTCTACTTTACCTGTCACTGAAAATGATCACTTTACATCATTTGATACTTTTTTCATGTTCTTTTATTGTAATCTAAAATAAATAAATGCCAAATAAAGTGTTGTGCTATGAAAATCTACCATTTTTTCCTAATTATATATAAAGTGGTGTTTATAGAAAAAAGTAGAGAATGCTGATGAAAAGGAAAATTTAACAAAGGAGCTGCTATTAATGTTCTGATATATTTCCCAGATCTTAGCTATTCTGTTAGGGTATACCCATCCAAATTAAGAAATAGGACAGGGAGGAATAAGCAGACAAGGGAGGGAAAGAAGTGAAAGAGGAATAGAAAGGCAACTAGAAAAGTGGAGGAGGGAGGGGAAGAGGGGTGGGGAGGAAGGATAGGAGATGGATGAGAAGGGCATTAGAGGGGAGGGGAGGAATTTGGAGGGAAGAGTTGGAAGGGGAGAGAGTAGAAGGAATGGGATTGGGAGTAGGGCAAGAGTGCCTCACCTGAAAAGGCCATCAGTATTAAGCTGTTATTTTCACAATCCCCTGCCTACCTTTCACCTTAACTAGGGAGAAGATCACACTTCTGTGGCTAATGTTTTTTTTTTTTTTTTTTAATAAATGACATCATGTTCTCACCTATACTGCACCATGCAGCTGGTCACAGGGTAATTAGATCCTGAGAGTTTGGTTTGAGATTAGGGTGAGTGAGAAGCCCTTCAAATTCAGTTTACTGAATGATTTCCACTGGGAATAAAGGCAGAAGCACAACAAATAGTAAAATGTAGTTTTTTTCAGGTTTGTCATTTCCTAGTCCACAGTTTTCCTTAAGGAATGCGCAGGAAAGAATTATGACAGAAATAAGACAGAATTTGAGAATTTCTGAGTTTCTAGGCATAAAATTACTTAATAGTCTTTCAAAATCCCACAATATACAGTTTAGTATCTTTTATCTCTGTTTAACAATAGTTCCCCCCCATGTATATTAATTAAAAATCTTACAACTGTATATTAATTAAAAATCTTACATCTATGACATACTTTATTTAACCAGTCACACGTGTCTGGATATTTAGGTTGTTTATGATCTATACAATACCTGGGAGCTAATTATTGCTTTTAGCAATAACCACTGCACATTTGAGAGTGCTTGTGTTTTATTTCTGAGGTTTTCACATCCATCAAAAAATGGATATGGCAGATTTACTTACATGCCAGTGCCAAAATAAAAACTATAATAAAAATTGTATACTGTCTTGTGACAACATACATTTCCAAATCGGATACACACATGACTTGCCAGACAGGACAACCTTCAAAACTTTAACATGAAGTGAAACATCCTAATAGTGTCACGGAATTCTTACGGAAGTACTTGGTATCTTTCCACTCTGTATTTCCTATATTCAAAGAACACATGTTATTATAACATATTTTAAAAATACAAGCAGAAATATAGAAAGTAAAGATCATTCAGAAGTACACTAAGGTATGCCCTTTTTGTATTTTGGTGTATTTCTGCCAGTCTCTCTTGATAAGGTTCTTTGCTCAAATCCAAAGGAGAATTCCAGTTAGGTGGGTGCGAGAAAAAGATATTAATTGGAAAGACAATTCACTTGTATTTCAAACTTAAATTTAAGCCTAGGAAAGTGGGCTAGTAATGGGGTGGATGCAAGCATTTGCACATCAGTGAAGCTGGAATACCGGAAGTGCAGGATGTCTGCGAGGGATACTTACACCACCTGGGCAGGTTGAGGAAGGTGAGTAGAGAGGGGAAATCGGTTGGGTTGGCACATGCATTGGGTTGCATGTTTGTCCATCACTGATGCTCAGCCAATGAATGTTTCCAGAAGGAGGAGCCAGCTAAAGGGTGGGGAATGTGAGGCGGGGCGTGAAAAGTGCGCCTTGAGAACTGCGGAGGCTTTTTCGAGAGCCTTCTAGAGTGTTGTTTTCTCTTGATGCTTCTCAAACCTGAGAGCTGCTGCTACCTATGCTGCCTCCAAGGGGGATCAAGGGACCTATGAGGTAGCCACCTATTCCTCCTTTACTTCTTCCTCTCTCACTCACTCCCCATATCCTCCCCTGCAGTCGCCTCCACCTCCTCCTTAAAGAGTTCATTCCTGACCTGAGTTGGATACTGTAGTTACTGTGTTTACTCTTTTTCCTTAAGGAGGCAGACTCAAGTAACCAGGTACTTTTGTAAGCAACAGCAGCCCAGACTATGGAAGAGGAAATGGAACAAATATGAGCTGAGTAAAGGTGACAGCAAAATCAAATGATGCAGACCCCAGCAAGGCAGTGTAAGCTCAGCCTGGAGGTGCCCTGTCTGGCAATACTGATACCCGTGTATTTGGCTTCAAAAAGCTTCCAGTGTGATATGGTAAGACAGAAATCAAATTGTAGGCCTTGGAAAAAGGTAGAAGACCTCACTTGATGAGATGTTTGGGCCCACTGATGCCATGTATGAGGAAAACGTGGGGGTGTAAATGCAGGTACAAGCCAAAGTTGTGAAGTGATGAAGTTTTGAATAGGGATTCTGGTAAAGTTAAGAAACAGAATTAAAGATTGAAAAGGAGAAAAATTATTTAGAAAAAAAAAACAATATTTAGAACATGCAGATTTCTTAAAACGGATATTTCAAAACTGAGTTTTTGAAGAAGATAGGCGCTAATGAGACTTCTAGATCTCTTCCTCTTTGAAATAATTTTGTTTTTTTTGCAAAGGATTTCAGGTAGACCAGAGGGAAATAAATTAAAAAAACAAAGCTCCTCTAAAAGCCAAGGTAATCACATTTTAAATGAGGCACTCCAACCCAAAGTGACTAAATTCCCAAAGTCTATTTTCTTAAGTTCTTTATTTCCTTTTTGTTCTTTTGAAGTGTGACAACCCTTGATAGTGGGACCTATGGGGAAAAAAAATTAGTCACTTGTGACTTTGTAATTGCTGGAATTTAATTAACAATCTTCTCTAATTTAAAGATGGAACCATGCTAAACAGGAGAGTCTGTGCAAACATAGGATGTGAGCAAACTGAAAGGCTGAGATACTGACCCAATGAGATGGGACTGCTGACTTTTCAAGATATGGAAAATACTTTAACCATCTGAGATTAGAAAATAATATGATTTGGCAAAGCAGGGTGCATAACCTGCAGTATAATAACTTCAACACAATTATGTATTAGTTAAGATTTCATGTTTCATATTTCATTGTATTTCTATGTCAAAAATGAAATATTTAAGTATTAGGAACATAACATTTAGAAGTCTACTATTCTTTTTTTTTTGGAGAGATTTTCGCTATAGGGCGCGTGCGCTCGCCAGACAGACAGAGAGAGACATAGAGACAGAAAGCAAGAAATCACCCCCCAGGGGGGATGGTCACGCCGCAATCCCTTCTCCTCCATTCTCCTCTCGGGATCTTGGGCACGCACGCACACGCGCCCGGTGTGAGTTTTAAGCCACCGGGTCCGGGATGCGAACCGTGGTCGACTACGTGGGAGTCCAGCAACATAGCCATTATGCTAACTACTGGTTCCCAAGTCTACTATTCTTTAGAGATGTAGAACACAGCAAATTTTCTAAGTGTCTTTATTCATTACTGTTTAGTCCTTTTGATATTTTATGGCATACTGCTATTAGAGAGCAACGATGAAAATTACCAGAACTCCTTATTGAAGCTAATATTTATTTGGAGAAAAAACTATGCTAGAGGAATCAATTCAATTGTGTGTTATGCCCCCAGCTATGAACTAAGATGGGTTTAAGTCAACTGGCACCTGGCATGCCTTCATTATTTGATATAGAAATTCAACTTACTTATGTGATGGTACTTTATTTTACCACTTGAATGAAGTAACACAGAGTTAATGATTTTCAGGAACATATTAATATAAATTCTTCCCGATTATTAGTGGTTTTGGAATTAGTATGCTACAAGGATTTATGAAAAATAATCATAATGAAGCTTTTATTTCCCACAGTGATGTTAATAAAAGTTAGCCTTTGTATTTTTCTCATTTTTTTCTACTAGCCAGTTATGTAAACTAAGGTGATTAAGCATATATTCTTTGTACTATGCTTCACTGAAAGTTTTCATATTATTATTTTCTTACATCTTCTGATTATAAAATGTGTTCACTGTAGAAAATTTAGAAGATACACTGAAAAGTATAGAAATAATTTGAAACATTTCTACAAAGATAATTGTACTTTATATGAAAAATAAATACCTATCTATATGTCTTCATTAACACAATAGCTAGTCCTTACCTATAATTTTTTACTTACTGTCGTTTTTTCAAAAAAAATTTTTAACAATTATTTTATTAACTTTATTTATTTATAAATTTATTTCATTTTAATTTGACCAGAGATTTACAGAGAAAGTGGGAAAGTGAGAAAGCAAACTTCCAAGTCCAGGACTCGAACCGTGGTTGGCCCTGTGGGAGTCCAGTGCTCTTAACTGCCATCACCTGCCATCACCTGCCGGCCCCTCAATTATTTTATTTTTGGTACTCTTTCTGTATTACCAAAAGTAAATCTTCATTGTCCTTAGCACACACAGAGATTCACTGTAATTTGTTTCATCAGTTTCTGATGAATATTTAGACCGTAGACATCTTTTTTGTTCGATTAGTAGTGGTAATCACTGTCTTTGAATTACAAAAAAAAAAAAAAAAAAAAAAAAAAAAAAAAAAGAAAGGTTGTACATGTTGCAATAATTTCTCCTTTCCACTTTGTTCAGTATTGTTTTTCTTTTTCCCTGTAGAATGGTTTTAATGTTAATATAGTCACATTTATCTTTTTTTCCCCTATTATGGATTTTGGGTATTTGAGTTAGAAAGATCTTTACACAAGATAATTTTTAAAATATTGCTCATGTTTCTTTCAGTGCTTGTAAACTTTCATTAAAGCTATAATCTTTCTGTAATAACTTTGATGTAAAAATTTAGATAGCTAGACCACTTTTACTTTTTCTCTCAACATGACTAACTTCTTGTTTCAGTGCCATTTGTTGAATATTGATTATCTGATGTAATTGAACAATTGCTTTCTTAACTAATTTGTTCCCTTAAGTATTTGGGCTTT